ATAACCCACGCCTATTTTTGATCACGTGATCTGAAGATAACTCTCTGTTAGGATTGAAACAATTATCTTTTTTAACGATCAATTTCTAAACCTAATATGATACCATATCTTTTTCTCTTATGGCATTGTAACAAAAGCCAAACATACAAATGTAGATTAACGCCTGACACATTTAATCTCCGCCGTAACAAGCTATGTCATGAAGAAACAATAAAGGACATTTTTCTCGATATAGAGCAGATCTGTGTTCCCTCAAATCATGTTACCATTATCAAACAATGTCAAATTATGTCCACATCAAAACATTACAATGCGATCATATATCGCCAATACAATATTCGGATACAGATAAAATCTCTAACATAGTCAATTATTTGTTATCAGAGTGAAACATATCGTGGAGGAGATTTTCCTTGGCATGGTTAATTAAGCTAATGAAGTTTGAGTGTATTTTGAAATAATTTACAATACACATATCTTGATTGTAATCAATAAATACAAACACTTATGAATGAGCAAACGCCATCATATCTTTTTTTCAAATACATCCAATATTTTGCATTATATAAATAACACCAAATTTATTTAATGATTTGGGTTTAAAGCCGATTTTAACACATTTATGGTTATATCTCAGCTGTCGCTTCACCTTACCTGCTTTCCGAGAAGTTACCAATTGAAAAAAATCAGTCCTGCAGAAACAACACCCCAGCATGAACTTTAATTTCGATGAGGTCACTATGGCCATAACATGCTTTTTCTAGTGTTTTTTCTGCAAATATCGACAATATCGTTTAGCTGCATCGATGTGATGTTTTGGGATTACTCATATATGTCACATATATTCTTGTTTCTTAATACTTCAATTACTTACAGTTGATGGCATCATTATTGTTGATGTTTTAGTTATGCGTGTCGCAGTATGATGTGACTATGATCCTGTATAAGCTGCCTTACCATAATTGTACTTGTGTATTCAGTAGTTGACTCTGATGTTAAACTACACTCATTATCATGTTCGAGAACATTCTTTTTAAACACTAAAACAACGCCAGCCACATAAAATTCCGCAGCCATTTCTGTTTGTAATTTGATTCTGTGGCCAATAAGACTTTCTTTAATCTTGAATCCTTTTAAATGCCTAGCATATTCGGATGAGTCTCTAGCTGTTTGCTCAGAAATCTTGTGAAGTGAGAAAGATAAAGTGTTGCGTAGGAATTTAATGACACAAATAGCATAAACTTAATTAGTTTGTGAATGCGTTTATCTATGTTTTAGAAGTGTTAATCAATCGATAAAATTATGTTTAAGACATCTGTAGCAAATTATTTCCTTCAATATTTCCTTTAATATAATACGAGTCAACGTTAGCCAATGTATAAACGTCTTATCTATTGGCAAAGATGCATTGACCTTAAAATCAAACAATATTTGCAATTCTTTAGAAATAATTTAACATGAATCTTTGATAAAACAACATTATACTGTCTTTATTTATAAATATCTTTTAATTATAAATTTTCTTAACTTTTGTCATTCAGTGTTAATATCGTAGTTGTTGTCAAACGAATATTTTCATATTGCTTTAATTGTAAACATTCTATTAAATTTATCAAAATATGCTCAGTTGGTTTTTTTTTAATTTTATGTTTTGTGTTTTATGTTATACTGTATACTACCTTTTGTTAATTTGTGATAAGCCATATTTTCTTACGTCACACAAAGCCATACCTCAAGAACGATGATGATGTATTTTAACACTTTATTGTGTTATTCTTATGATGTCATATAGTCTCTTTTGTGTAGCATATTTGATAATAAATGAATAAATAAATAAAAACATGACTTCTTAATTGTATCAGAAAAAAAGATAAGTAAACAATACACCTACGCAGAAAATTCTAGCTTTATTGCACGTCATTCACTGCATAAAATTGTTTTGCAATGTTACAAATTTGCTATTCTAAAGCATTGGCCTTATTGGCCTTTGTTATGATACTCAAATGATAAGAGAACTTTATATATTTGTTTAATATTTGATATTGTTTTGGTTATAACAATGGTGATCAATATCTATTATTCCAGTGTCAATAATATTGCTAAATTTGTTTAATATTCTTGATTAAACTAGTTAACATGTATGCTTTTATATGTTTAACACCTGCAATTTGATTGTCAAAAGCATTATTTTATTATGTTCCATATCCGATATTTTCAATAGTGAAATAGTGACAAAATTGTTTTTGCTTTTATAGATTTAACACCTGATATTTGATTATCAACAGCATTGCTTTAATATGTTCTATATTTGATATTTTCAATAGTCAAATAGTACCAAAAATCGCTTTTCTTTTCATTGCTTTCAGTATTTCAAATATTCTAAATGAAATTAGTTACAAAACCATAATGTCTTCAATGACGAAACAGTTTATTTATGTCATGACTTCAGAGTCCGGCTTGGACAAAAATGCTTGACGTAAGACATGTATCATATCTGATAATAAAATAAATAACACATGGGTTTGTGAGTAACAGTAAAAATATCATCCCTCGTAAAAATACTGTTACCCTCGGCTACGCCTCGGGTAACAGTATTTTCCTCGGGATGATATTTTTACTGTTACCCACAAACCCATGTGTTATTTATATACTGTTTATTTGAATGTGGTGAACATTTTGTTTTGTTTTGATTGCGAACTTGTACACTAAATTGCCTATGAATACAAAATTGTGAGAAAAGAAAGAGATCAGTAAGCATATATTTTCGTATTAGTACCACACATGAAGTTCATCAATCTTTTTTTTACAACATAACCTTTAAAGCGGTACGTCGCAGCAAACTGTATAAGATTCACAGTATTGGCACACATTTTTACACTCACCGGCGTTGAGTGGTTCGAAATGAGTATGTAACTGTCTTTTTGTCTTGTGTCGTACTGTTGCTTGAATATATTTTATTCTTCGACTATTCAAAATTTTGCATGGTAAAGTTCACAGTTTATCAACCAGCCGGCTGGAAATTGCCATAATTTTATTTTTAATATATTCTTTGGTTAAATGAACTATAATATGTACATTATCATAGTGGTTTATTTTTATAAAACCCACAACAGTTTTCACAAGTATAGACATTTGTTTGAAAATTGGAAGTATTGTCGATAAAATTTGTATGGAACAGTAAAATACTATTTGCTTCTTATACGTTGATTATTTCAACTGTTTCTGTGATTTGATTCAAGTACGTACAAAAATACCAAGACTCTAGTACTATTTGTCATATTATTCACGCATTTACTAATCGAGGATTGTGTTTGTACAAATGTTCTGAGAGTAATTACTTTATGGGAACATTAGTTAATTAATGACATCTATACGGCCAGCTGTGAAACTAGCTTCCAATGACAGAGTAATAATACCAAATGTGCGGTATTTGAAAAGCGTGTACATTAATTAATACAATAATGTTGGACAAAAACACTAGACGGATTATTTCACCATTTTCAATGTACTGGACTTAGAATTTTCACAAAACTGTGAGCGTAACAAAAACCCTTTTGGCCTGTGATGTTTAATGTCATTTTACTACACCCCCAGTATAACCTTATGAATACATAAGACAATGTAATTTCTTGAAGCAGCTATAATTAAGGCATTTGTTGACCTAATTTTCCAGGGTCTAGTCGTTTAAGTTCGCTTTGCTTTTATTAACTGCAACCAATATGAAAACAATTAAATGTACTTTTATAACATAGAATGATTTATTAAATTTCTGATTCTTAATATAACGAATCTTTAAATACATATATGTAACGAAAGGTTATGTGTGCGATAATGGTGACGAAATTATAAGTTATTTGCCCATTCAAGGATTAATCAGTCAATTTAAAAGAAAATTAAAAGTTTAAATTTTATAATTTTGATATAGACGATTTAGTATCATTAGTAAGCTAAAATAATCCAACATTTTTCTTACTGCTCAGATATAACACTTTAAACTGTATAATTTTGAGCACGAAATTTAAGTCGTCGGTTCTTTTCAATATCCAAATGATGCACGGAGAGATATCCTCTTTTTACAACATTTTCTTATTGCTCAGATATGACGCGTTAAATCTTATCATTTTGAGCAAGAAATCTGTAGTCGTTGCTTCTTATCAAGAGCCAAATGATGAACGGATGGATGCCCGATGTCTTCATCCAAAAGTAAAGCCAAACAGTTGATATATAACCTTTACATAATTGGGTGTGACTCAACGGCCAACCAGCAAAGCTGCATGTTTGTCTTATAATTGAAGTGTTCCTTACAGAGCAAGTCTACCAAGTATTTTGACTGTTTGTTGAATCATCAAGTTTTATTTGTACATAAACATGAATAATAAATAATACTGATCCTAATCAGTTATTATACTGTTGTTATTCTTAAATTAATCTTTGGCGTTTTGCATCGATAAACACCTTGTAAGTCTCTATTGCAGATGGATACGTTCAATGATATTGATTTGTTCTGATCATAATAATCTCATAATACGAAAATGCTATCAGATAAATCAAATAGACTACCTTCCTCCGCGCTAAACTACCAAAGCATCTCCCGTTTGTTTCCAGAATAATAATTTTACTGTGCAAAATGACCTCAAATAAAAAGTGCTGCAACGCTTTTACCCAAATCGGGCTAAGAATCGCAAATAATATATTTTGTTTTCACTTTAATGCCGAGTTTATTTCATATTTTGTAGATTTTGCAGAGCTTAACTTGATCTTTGTAAGAATTTAAATTATTATGTTTTAAGACTTTTTTTGACCTCCACGGACATGCTGTTTAGCCTTGCTCTGAACTAATAACTGTTGATTCTCAATGAGGGTTAGAAAACGTAAAAAGAAATATTAGATAGTTTATATATATTGTACAGAAAATAATCTGAAGCAAATGTATGATTTGTTGTGATATTGTCCAGAGTTTCAATTTTATTAAATATATCCGATATAAAACACAGACTCACTTTCAGCCTAAATTTGACACAACACGTAGTCAAATCCATTTATTTAAAACATCATCAAAACTTGAAATAGATGATCTTTTTACAAAAGTAATGTTGTTTCAAAATAAACCTTTGCTCCAAGCGTTTATACTGACCAGTTTCGTTTTTATTTTATTAAATACAAAAGAAACTTGAACAATATTGGTCAGCTTGTCATCTAATTCAAGTTTGTTCCTTCAGAGAAATTTTAAACACATATTGCTGTTTTCTTTAACAAATGATTTCAGAGGAAACTTAAAATTTCAAACATATTGTCATTTGAAAACAAAACTATTTGCAGCTTCCATCATGGACCTCGTGAAAAAATACACGGGATCCATATTGTCTGTCGTTTACTTTGTACAAAGTTAATGTAAACACATTTTTCATCGGAAAAGAAATGCTAAAATAATAATACATTGTTTGTTACAGCGTAGACATTTTTAACAAATTAAATTAATGGCGTCCTTTATTATTGAACATCAGCAATATCGATCAAACATGTGACAGTCAAAATCAATGTGAAGAGACTCTTTCTCTGTTTCTAAAGAAGCACTTATTTGATCATTATTTTAGTTGAAGTTAATACACTTGAACTGGAGATAAGTCAAGTCTTGTAGAAAAAAGCTGCCAAATTTATTACCGTCAGTGGTTAAAATGCAGGAAAGTTCGGGCATTCATACCATGTTTGTACATATATTCAAGAAAACATTCGCATCCTTCCACGCTCACTCTGTTTGGACATTCTTCTTTACTGGAAAATGTAAAATAATTTAAATAAGTTAAGTCAGATTTATAGGCTGATCTCTTTTACATACTGTATTTGAATTTTTATAACTGTACATATATGTTTATGTTTGTTAAACAAATAATTTTAGATTGTTTATTTAATCTAGCAGTCTTTTTAAAACATGCAAGAGGTAAATTGTCATTGAAACAATTGCAAAAATATTGACAAAAATTCCTTAAGACAATAGAGATATAAATATTTAAAAATAATAAGATAAATTAAATGTCTCTGTTTCATTCCCATATAGGATAAATGCATTGTAAAATGTAAAGTACGAATCTACATATGTTATAATTATTATCTTACACGCTGTACGTGGACTAATAAATGAATAAATATTGATAAGTAACATACCGTTTCCCTCTTTCCGAGCTGCCCCAGGAAGCCCATTGGACCCCTACGTTTTCCAAGGCGTCCCTTGAATCCCATTGGTGACCTTCTTTCTGGTCCGAAGACATATAAAGGATCCCTTTTACCTAAAGTTCCTAAAAATCCCATCGGCGCTCGCTTACCTAAAGTTCCTAAAAATCCCATCGGCGCCCGCTTTCCAAGCTGACCTCTGAATCCAAGTGGTGCGCGTTTACCAAGTTGACCCATGAATCCCATAGGTGCGCGCTTACCCAATTGCCCCATGAAACCCATAGGAGCACGTTTACCTAACTGGCCCATAAAACCCATCGGTGCCCTTTTCCCTAATGTTCCGACAAATCCCAGAGGTATTCTTTTGTCATAGTCGTCAACAGTACTTTTCCTTTTTCCAAGTCGGCCACTAAATCCCATTGGAGCTCTGAATCTTTTGCCTAAAGAACCAAATGCGGAATACCTGTCAAAGCCACGTTTATCGACACCATTTTCGAGACTTTCTTCTTCACTGTCATCAAAGTAATGAGATTTGTCGCCATCGTCTAGTTCGTCAAGATATAGATAAGGCAAAGTATCTTTACTTATGTTATTGATGTCAATATCCTCCGCCGTTTCCAGAGCGCGTTTTTCTTCATCTTCACCGTAAAGGTCATACATTTGTTTAGCAAAGTTTTCTAAATGACTTTCATCTCCCTTCTCGCTGTCTATTTCTTGAAGCATATCAATGTTATGAGCATCGCGTTTTGAAAGGACTTTGAGTTCATTTTCGGACCGGTCTGTAGAATGTCCATTAACTGTTACAGCTTCTGCGGCTGACCAAAGCAAACAAAACAAAGCGAGATTTAGAACGTGACATCTCTTCGTCATTGTGTAATGGATCCCTAAGTTGTTTCTGGAAAAGAATAAACAGAAAATGAATGCAGGCATTAAGTTAGCATAAAACTCCAATTTAAATATTTTTTCAAATACCTGTGAAAAGCATTTTCATTTGTCATTTTTCTGATAACATTAAAACATAGTCATAAGGGAATGTCAACAAAATCAGTTTTACATATTAATTATATGAAAAAGATAAAAAAGCTTAAAAATTATATCGAAATAGATTGTCACGTAAAGTTTGATAACATATTTCTTATTGTAGAGTCAGGGAATATTTGCATCTTAAACTGCAGCTATATGCATATCTCCCTAACAATGCCGCCCGATATTAAATCGCAATGAAATTTATGCTAAGCATTTGCATCTTATTAATAATTAAGAACTAATAATTTTGTAAAACTACAGTATATGGGAAAACATATCCGTTTTCTCTTATTATTGGCTTTTAAGAAATTAAGTTACATTTTAATTTCTGCTCAGAAATAGCGTTATTCCGCATAAATGCAAATTGTTGAATCATAATATCATCACAATACGCCAGTTATAATGATGGTTAAAGTTTAATGTACGAGATGTTTCACACCAATTTCCATATGGTGTTTAAACCTAAACGACGGCATTCAGATACAAAAAACATATTAGCATAAAAACTGGAATAAGTTTGAAACAAAATTATTAAAATGTATCTCTTGGTCGCTAGCAGATGCTTATTTTTTTCTAAACTCCTGCCTGAATTCGACAATAAAAATGCAAAATAGATGGATGTAGTTTGTCATACGTTTTATTTAGAATATCTAACAGTGTGTGTCATATTTCAGTCCTGTTAAATATGCGTATAAAAACATTGTAGGCACAGATAAACCACTTTTCAAAGTTGTTTGAAGTTTAACATTTTTCCATGTATATAAGTAATACCACACAAATTACTGATATTTTAACGGACAAAAATATATTGTGACACATAGAAAAATGTGAGTGACCTTGATTTAAATCGGGATATTTTCCTATGAATTCTTATTGATATTTTTTACGAACAACAAAATAGGGACACCATCGAGTTTTTATGACTGGGAACTATTTTCCGAGATAATTTTATTATTTTACCATTTGATGTAGGTCTAAACCAATAAAAGTATGTGCAACTTTTCAGACCATACTCTCACCCCGTTTTTCCAGATAAATGACAAGAAATAAATAAATAAATAAATAAGTAAATAAATAAACGCTCTTCTCTCTGGCTGAAAATAGCAGTATTTATCGATTTTTTGAGCTCTGTATTTTTTTTGAATATTTATTTGTTTTAATCTTTTTGACCTAAGTGGAGCTCCTTTAATATATTATTAATTCCGTGACATTAGAATCAAACTGTATAGAATATTTCAAAACAACCGTTTAAATATATACTATGCTCATCTTTATGAAAAATAATTTTATTGCAGCAAGTTGTTAAAATCTATGAAATTCTTACTGAATATGTATAAGTTGAATAAAAGAATGTACCAACTATGTATGGGAAGCTGCATTCCCTATTACATATCAAGTTAAGTTTGTCCTGTCTTTAAAAACTGCCAGTTTTTTTAATGACACTATTCATATTGTACCCCCCTATAGTGTGTAGAGTTTAAGACATAACATATCTACTGTGTGTTAAGTCAAAAACATGTTGATTGTATATTTTCAAAGAGACAGCATTGCAATTTTCAATATATTAAAGTACCAAATTTGAGCATAATATATCTATCATAACACTCGGTTTCCACAACACCCATTTTTCCAAGAGAGTAAAACAATTATATAAATTCGAAACATGTCAAGATTTTTCAACCTCCAGACTACAAAATCGCATTTCAAAAACATTTGTCACAAAATCTTGTTTGTTGTCACAATTGTTTATAAAAGCTGTGATTGGTTTTATTTGTAGCATGTTTATTGCTCGTGTTCATTATTTGTGTCATATCATATCTAAGATAAAGTTCAAAACAATATTTCCATCAAAGAGAAATTATTTTGTTGATATTGTTAAAGGTCTATTTATAAAGAGACTTGGTTCCTTAGGTCAAAATCTAAAAGAAATATTCTTTACATGGCTCATTACGTCTGATGAAATTCTTCTGTACTTGACAGTGTTTACGGAAGTTATGCAGATAATGAAATGTTTCAAGAGCGAGGCTGTTTGCAGCGCAATTTGTATCGATGTTTGCATAATCATTATTGTTAACATCACTTTGGTATTTCTTTTCGAATATTTGATATATTGACCTATAGTAGTCAAATAGTATATTATGTTAGAAGTTGAGGCCGATAGATAGATAAAATAGATTGTGTACATTATGTACCCAAAGAATGGTTTGATCTGAATATCACTTTTTACTATTTTGTAATAGGTTTAAAAATAAACGTAGATATTAGATAGATATTTAGGGCCGATGTATTGGCCTACAATTTCTAAGTTTTCTATTATGCTCTCAATTAATAAAAAGAAAATGTTGCCAAGTATATATATGAAGTCATGGATTTTGCATTAAAATACTGTTTTCTAGGGTGTATTGTACTACTACTTTTTATGCTACTTATACTTCCTTTCTTTTTTTTTATTTTTGCTACATACTATGAAATGGGTATAAATTTCCTGTCTTGCAAAAATGATTGTCTATGTGTTTATAAGTACTTGTTAATCGTGTAAATTTATTATTCCAACTTTCTAAGATTTTGCATTTGCCATTTGTCTTATTATATTTGTAATATGCAATAAGTTTGCCGATTTGCTGACTGTATATTTAATTTTTGTTTTAGTTTTGCGCAACAAAGAGTAAAGCAGGTGTTTTAAAGTTTGTTGTTGTGCTTAGTACGTTATACAATGCCTAATTTGTTTCTCATAGAACTTGTATATAAAATGTATCAGTCGCTTATTACGCTCACACAGTGTCAATAACAAAAATGAAATTATTCATGATTGATGAATTTTTTGATAATAAATTGAATTTGTAAAAGTCACAAAGCCGATTATTGCAAAGCATGGCGAGGTTTCAAACTTCAAGTTGCATAAGAATTGTTTTTTTTTTATAAATTTCTGTCTCTTTCTTTTATGATTAAAAATATCCTGACAAAAATTGCTATACCTTTTCCGTTGAGTGCAAATAAGTAACGTGTTCAATTCATCGAGAGAAAAAAAGTTTTATTTTCATAGATACACGAAATTTATGTTCTTTTTAGTGTCGCATCTGCAAATGAATGAGTTTCGTTTGAGATAAGAATAATTGATTTGATGAAATTAATTAATGCATATCATTCTGATCAAGCAAATTTGATTTGAGACGACAAATTAGACGAATTTAAATCGAAGAATACAAACTAAGCAGCAAATTAAAGTTGGAGCAACTTGTTTATACAAGGTTTGTTTGTTATGGCATAAGGTACGTTTTCTTCGTTAGGTTTTAAATGTTGTAATGTACGACTTTATAAGGCTTGTATTCTGTACAAACTGATCATATCAGATAGGCTATTATTATATTGTTTTCTACTAAATATTTTTCAAGTATCACTTGTTTAAAATTTTCCATAAACAAGGATGGAAAGAGTAAGTGCCTAACTATTGCATCATCTATATATTGATATGTAATGAACAAATTGCCAAGGTGTTCATTGAATTGTCTTTCCAATGCAAATACCAATTGTTTTTCACATACAACATTATTAAACAAGCAGGCAGGTATCTTTCAAATTTGTGTAAAATGCTTACTGTAAATAAGGAATTAAGTCAAACAAATCTACCCCAAGAAAAATTCGCCCGAAATTGTAAGAACAAACCTTAACTGTAAAACTGTTATTGACATGGCAACACTCATCCATCCAAACTCCTCGACTTAATTTCTTAATTTCAACTGAAATACAATTTTCACAGCCGTATACGGCAATGGTTTAAACAATCTAAGTTTCCCCAGACAGTTCGTTTACTTTTCCCACTGAGCACTGGCAAATGTCATAGCTTTATCTGTTTGAACAAGAGCTTTTGATTGATCTCTACACCTTTGCAGACAAAAACATAATCTTAGGTGTATAATTGTTTTAAAATAGTTAAAATACTAGTCATTTGTTATCATTTATGTCAAATTGGATATGTTATACATGTGTCTTGTAGGCGAAAATAGACGCTTTGCAATTAGGGAAAGGTATAAGCAGATCATTGCCTGCTAGAATGGTCAGTAACATGATATTGAGTGTTCAATTCCAGAAAAGTGACTTTACTAGACGATGTTTACAAACTCTTAAAATGATAAAATTTCCTGAATTAAAATAATGAAGATAGATAAATAAAATGACTAGACGATTAAAATGAAATAATGCTACGAAAAAGTAAGGTGAAGGAGAGATTGAATGAAAAGATTTGGGACTAGTTTGACCCTGACACATGACTTAAAAGGGTAATAACCCTGATGTGTCAAATAGCGTTATATATCATGAGCTTACAATGAGAAAGCGGATCTGCTTATTTTACTATAGTTGTTACTTATTAAAGTGACATTATAATTATGTTTTCGTTGACGAGTTGAGCTGAACTGACTATTGATTATTGAAATGGTCATTGACTGATAATAGATAAGGAAAAGGTTGTAGCATAAAATATAACAACTGCATAAAATATAAAAGTAAAAGTAAAAAGACTGCCCTACCAATTCAACGTTTACGATGCATTTCGAAGGGTATTTATAGAATGTTCCACGTGTCACGTGGGAAACTGATTATACAAAATGAAGTATACAGACTATAAAATTGAAAGTAATAATGGCACGATCTAAAATTATTTTGAATTTGGCCTGTACACCTACCATTTAGTCTCGGACTGACGTCATACCACTTGATCTGTATGAGGTGGGAAGTCAAAGTGACAAAAATCATGTATTTAAAAAAAAACTCATGTCATCAGAAGTGCTCAATTTTTTAACGTTTCTGTTATTTATCGTAGGGATTTTCTCTGAGAAACAAGGTTATCTGTTGAGGCGTGTTTGGATGTGTGAATAGCTGGCGTTTCTTTTAG